CCTCTCCTGAGCTGCAGAGGCTCAGGGCAGAGAGGCAGAGGGAACTAAGTTCCCGCAGGAGGAGTGCTCGCCTCCAGGCCAGGAGAGGCGAGTCACCTGTGGACTGAGGCCGCCCTATGCCTCAGAGGAGATAAAGGCCAGCCCGCCCAGTTCCAGGTTGGCGGGTGCAACATCACTGGTTACCTGTTCCTGCCAGCACCCTGTCCTGCTTTCTGCCAGAGTTCCTGACCATGCCCGACTCCCTGCCTTGGACCCCCCCTTTAGCCTCGGACCGGACATGGACCACGCCGCACGGTAACCCCCCCCCCCCGCCCAGGACCAGCACAAAAGCGGGAGGCAGAAAAGGAAACCAGTGTGGCTGTGTTAAGGAGCTTGCAGACGAGCTGAGAGTTAAGAAGGGCATGTATAAGAAATGGAAGAAAGGAGAAATCACAAAGGAGGAGTATACACGAGTAGCCAACAGTTGCAGGGGGGAAATCAGGCTGGCTAAAGCTCAGAATGAGCTCAGGCTTTCAAGAGAGGTTAAAAATAATAATAAAAGGTTTATTTGGCTATGATCGAAGTAAGAGGAAGAACAAGCAAGTGGTAGATCCTCTGTGTGGGGAACACGGAGAAATGCAATTGGGTGACAGAGAAAAGGTGGAACTACTCAAGACCTAATTTGCCTCTGTCTTCGCCCAAAAGGAAAGTGATGCCCAGCCTGGTGATAAAAGAATAAATGATGTAAAGAGGGAGCTGCAGCCCAGTATAGAGAAAGAGGTAGTAGGGGAACACCTAGCTACTTAAATGAATTCAAATCTCCAGGGCCTGGTGTGTTGCATCCAAGGGTACTAAAGGAGCTTGTGGATGTAATTTCAGAGCCTTTGTCTATTATCTTTGAGAATTCTTGGAGAACAAGTGAGGTCCCTACAGACTGAGGGCAGGCAAATTTTGTCCTCATCTTCAAAAAGGGGGGAAAGGAAGACCCAAGTAACTACCGACTGGAGTGAGCTTCATATTTGATACCAGGGAAGGTCCTAGAACAGATAAGTCAACAGTCGGTCTGTAAGCATTTAGAAAAGGATGCTGTGATTACTAAGACCCAGCATGGGTTTCTTAAAAAGAAGTCATGCCAGACCAATCTGATTTCTTTTTCTGATGGAATTGGTGGATCAGGAAAATGCTGTGGACATAGTGTATCTTGATTTCAGTAAGGCTTTTGATAGAGTCCCCCATGATATTCTTGCGAGGAAGCTGGTAAAATGTGGGTTGAATCAGGTAACGGTTAGGTGGATTTGTAGCTGGTTGGCTGACCGAATGCAAAGAGTGCTCATTAATGGTTCCTTGTCATCTTGGAAAAAAGTGACAAGTGGGGTGCCGCAGGGTTCTGTCCTGGGCCCATTGTTGTTCTTTAATAATAATAATAATAATAATAATAATAATAATAATGAATAAATTTTATTTATACCCTGCCCTCCGGAGCCAAGACTGGGCTCAGGGCGGCCAACAACCAATAATAAAAACAAGTTGATTAAAATACAATTTAAAAAACAAGATTAAAATACAACATTAAAACATTATGATGCAGCCTCTTCACAGGAGGAGAAAGGAAAAAGAAAGAGGGGGAGGGAATCAAACTGATTCTAAGCCAAAGGCCAGGCGGAACAACTCTGTCTTACAGGCCCTGCAGAAAGAAATCAGATCCCGCAGGGCCCTGGTCTCATGAGACAGAGTGTTCCACCAGGCCAGAGCCAGTGTTGAGAAGGCCCTGGCTCTAGTTGAGGCTAATCTAACTTCCTTAGGGCCCGGGACCTCTAGGGTGTTGCTATTTATGGACCTTAAGGTCCTCCGTGGGGCATACCGGGAGAGGCGGTCCCGTAGGTACGAGTGACTTGGATGAAGGAATTGAGGGGATGCTCATCAAATTTTCAGATGACACCAAACTGGGAGGGGTAGCTAATGCTACAGAAGACAGAATCAAGATTCAATATGACCGTAACAGATTGGAGAACTGGGTGCAAGCTAACAAAAAGAAATTCAATAGGGACAAATATAAGGTTCTGCATTTAGGCAGGAAGAACCAGATGCACAAATATAGGATGAGGGACACCTGGCTTAATGGCAGTACATGTGAAAAAGATCTACGGGTCTTGGTGGACCACAAGCTTAACATGAGTCAACAGTGTGATGCAGCAGCAAAAAAAAAGCTAACACTATTCTAGGCTGCATCAACAGAAGTATAGCGTCCAGGTCAAGAGAAGCCTCAACCAGAGCCAGGGCTTTTTTGGCTGTGGCTCCGATCTGGTGGAACACTCTATCACAAGAGAAAAGGGTCCTGCGGGACTTGACATCTTTCCGCAGGGCCTGCAAGACAGAGCTGTTCCACCTGGCCTTTGGCCAGGGCACAGCCTGACTCCCTCCTTCGGCAATCTTCGCGGAGCTCTGGCCCAATGGTTGCCATTGGTTTGATTTGAATTAATTTTATAATGAATAATTTTAGAGTGTTGTGTTGTGTTGTACTGTTGTACTGTTTTATTGTTGTTAGCCGCCCTGAGCCCGGCTTCGGCTGGGGAGGGCGGGATATAAATAAAATTTATTATTATTATTATTAATACTACCACTCTGTTCTGCCTTAGTCAGACCACACTTGGAATAATGTGTCCAATTCTGGGGACCGCAGTTTAAGAAGGATGTTAACAAGCTGAAACATGTGCAGAGGAGGGCAACCAAGATGATCATGGGTCTGGAAACTAAGACTTATGAGAAGCGCTTGAAGGAGCTGGGTATGTTTAGCCTGGAAAAGAGGAGACAGAGAGGAGATATGAGAGCCATCTTTAAATATCTTAAGGGCTGTCACATGGAGGAGGGAGCAAGCTTGTTTTCTCCTGCTCTGGAGGGTAGGACTCACATCAATGGCTTCAAGTTGCAAGAAAGGAGATCCCAACTAAGCATTCAGCAAAACTTTCTGACAGTAAGAGATGTTCAGCAGTGGAACAGACTCCCACGAGAGGTGGTGGACTCTCCTTCTTTGGAAGTTTTTAAACCATTGTTCTGCCCGGACACTGAGGTCCAGCGCCGAGGGCCTTCTGGCAGTTCCCTCGCTGCAAGAAGTGAAGTTACAGGGAACCAGGCAGAGGGCCTTCTCGGTAGTGGCACCCGCCCTGTGGAACACCCTCCCACCAGATGTCAAAGAAAAAAACAACTACCAGACTTTTAGAAGACATCTGAAGGCAGCCCTGTTTAGGGAAGCTTTTATTGTTTAATAGGTTATAGTATTTTAATATTCTGTTGGAAGCCGCCCAGAGTGGCTGGGGAAACCCAGCCAGACAGGCGGGATATAAATAATAAATTATTATCTGTCATGGATGCTCTAGCTGAGATTCCTGCATTGCAGGGGGTTGGACTAGATGACCATTGGGTCCCTTCCAACTCTAAGATTCTGTGATTCTAAGTGCTGATGGATTAAACGCCAACAACCAGCATCTGAACAGCTGCATTGAAGACACAGAACAAAACCTGGAGGAGTGGGGAGAGAATCTGGAAAATTATTGTTGTGATTTGGTGGGGGGGACCGCCCTAGGCCCTAGAAATTAATCAATGGTACGATTGTGATTATTTGGAGAATTGAAGGGAAGATTGCAGGCCAGTCGAAAAATTCACACTAAGCTTCCTTTCCAAGCCAGCGCCTCACCTGACATAGAGGCGTTAACATGAGAAAAGGTGTTGATGGCCTTTCTAAGAGCAATCTTGGGCCTGGGCAGACAGAAGTTGCCAAGGTGATGGGGTGTGTGAGAGAGAGGTGACAGGAAAAGAATGCCTTGAGCTAGGTTTGCGGGAAAGAAGAAGGGAGAACAAAGATTGAGATCCATCTTGGGCAGGCTGGCTGAAGGCTGGCTGGGAGAGATGCCTCGGACTCCATGGCTGCCCTGCTGTGGGGATCAAGCCCCTCTTGAGATGACCATGTTGTAAGATCTGGAATCCCTCCATGCAGACTGAAGGCGTACAGACAATTCCCCATTTGCGCCGGGGGTCAACACATGTTTAAGTGAAACCATGTGTATTTGAAACACCATTGAAAAAGCCTGCAAACACCCCGCCGTTCCACCCCTTTTTGAGACATTTTTGGGTCACTTCCAGGTTTGGCGTGATGCATGCAGTCATGCTTGCGACACACCTAAAATGGTTGCACCCGTAAATATGTGAGTAAACCACATTTCTTAAAGCTACGGCAGTCTCTGCTGTATGCTCAGTTCTCCAAAGGAGCACAGAGCCTGGATGCGGGCCCAAGACCCCTGGAATCCCATGCACAGTTCTGAAGGCACCGGGGTGGCCGGTAACATTCGTTGGGATCCCACCCAATGAGGAATAACTTTGGCAAGTGCTGCTGGATTAAATGCCAACAACCAGCACCTGAACAGCTGCAATGAAGACACAGAACAAAGCTTGGAGAGGTGGGGGGGGGAGAAACTGCAAAATCATCGTGTTATCACTATGTATTTGACATTTGTGCACTACCCTACCAAAGGAGGCACCTGGAGAATATCTTAAAAGAAAGGCCAGGTTGAAAGGGGAAGGGCTACGCCTTGAGTTTTTGGGGTCCCCAAGCCATCTGGGGCTTTAACAGTAGTAGTAGTAGTAATAATAATAATAATAATAATAATAATAATAATTTATACCCCGTCCATTTGGCTGGGTTTCCCCAACCACTCTGGGTGGCTTCCAACAAAGATTAAAAATACATCAAAATGTCACACATTAAAAACTTCCCTGAACAGGGCTGCCGTCAGATGTTTTATAAATGCCAGGTAGTTGTTTATTTCCTTGACATCTGATGGGAAGGCGTTTCACAGGGCGGGTGCCACTACCAAGAAGGCCCTCTGCCTGGTTCCCTGTAGCTTTGCTTCTCGCAGTGAGGGAACCGCCAGAAGGCCCTTGCAGCTGGACCTCAGTGTCTGGGCAGAACGATGGGGGTGGAGACGCTCCTTCAGGTACAGTGGTACCTCAGGTTACATAAGCTTCAGGTTACATATGCTTCAGGTTACAGACTCCGCTAACCCAGAAATAGTGCTTCAGGTTAAAAACTTTGCTTCAGGATGAGAACAGAAATCGCGCTCCGGCGGCACGGCAACAGCAGGAGGCCCCATTAGCTACAGTGGTGCTTCAGGTTAAGAACAGTTTCAGGTTAAGTACGGACCTCCGGAACGAATTAAGTACTTAACCCGAGGTACCACTGTATACTGGGCTGAGGCCGTTTAGGGCTTTAAAGGTCAACACCAACACTTTGAATTGTGCTCAGAAACATACTGGGAGCCAATGTAGGTCTTTCAGGACCGGTGTCATATGGTCTCGGCAGCCGCCCCCAGTCACCAATCTAGCTGCCACATTCTGGATTATTTGTAGTTTCTGGGTCACCTTCAAAGGCAGCCCCCACTTAGAGCGCATTGCAGTAGTCCAAGCAGGAGATAACCAGAGCATGCACCACTCTGGCAAGACAGTCAGTGGACAGGTAGGGTCTCAGCCTCCATACCAGATGGAGCTGGTAGACAGCTGCCCTGGATACAGAATTGACCTGCGCCTCCATGGGCAGCTGTGAGTCTAAAATGACTCCCAGGCTGCGCACCTGGTCCTTCAGCAGTACGTACCAGCACCTTGAACTGGGCCCAGAAGCAAACAAAAGCCAACGAAACATAGAATCATATAATTGTATAGTTGGAAGGGAACCAGGGTCATCTAGTCCAACCCCCAGTTATTTTTAAATGGTCAGAGAGTTAGACGTTTGTGCTAACCCTGTGCCGCAAAACCTCAGGCGCATGTACAGCGCACCCATTTTAAATGTAAAAGTTTAAATTCAGGGTCAACTGCAAGCCTCATTTTTGGCTCGGACTTGATCCGCTCAGGGTCACTGTGAAGTACGCGTGGCAGGCGCCAGGAGACCAACAGAACTGGCGCTGCTACAAACATCGGAAGAACCTGGGATCCTTTTGCTGCTGCTAAGCTGTGCTCCTGGAAAAGTTATCCTCCCTCTGGAGAAATCCGGTGAAACGTCCACAATTTCTCAGCCCACAAACAGGGTGGAGAAGCGAGAGGTCATTTGCGCAAAGCTCTGGTCCAAATGGCCGACTGAGGGAGAGATTAAGGGCATGCGTAAAAGTCATGGGACGTGGGTGGCGCTGTGGGTTAAACCACAGAGCCTAGGACTTGCTGATTGGAAGGTCGGCGGTTCGAATCCCTGCGACGGGGTGAGCTCCCGTTGCTCGGTCCCTGCTTCTGCCAACCTAGCAGCTCGAAAGGACGTCAAAGTGCAAGTAGATAAATAGGTACCGCTCCGGTGGGAAGGTAAATGGCATTTCCATGCGCTGCTCTGGTTTGCCAGAAGCGGCTTAGTCATGCTGGCCACATGACCTGGAAGCTGTACGCCGGCTCCCTTGGCCGATAAAGCAAGATGAGCGCCACAACCCCAGAGTCGGTCACGACTGGACCTAATGGTCAGGGGTCCCTTTACCTTTACCTTAAAAGTCATAAACCACACGGAGGAGGAACAGGGAAGGAAATCTGGTGCCCTGGGGGGGTCCTCCTTCCTCCCCCCCAAGGGGAGCCCTTGCTATGCTTGGAGGCGAGCAGGAGAGCGCACCCTCCCAGCTAATAGCTGCAGACTGGAGCTGGAAATGAGCAGGTAACAGGATCCGCTAAGCGGTGGCGCTGGAAGAATAAAAGCAACCATCTCAGAAGAGCCATAATGAATCCGTAGCCCCTTAGTGCACCATTAAAGGAAGCGGCGGAGGCGCACCTAGGGAGAGTGACATCCGATGGGAAGGCCTTCTTGTGGGGATCCGCCAGCCTTCGTGGCCAATTTATGTAGTGGCATGTAATCTGCTCCAGTTATAGGCAGCCCGTGTGGAAATGTCACTGTGCTTAGAAGTCATTAGCTGGGGACGCAGCTAGTGAGAGACAGAGGCTGGGGACGGCTGGCGGGGAGAGAAGGATGGGCGGGGAGATGAGGCAGAGATAGGGAAGGGAAGGAATTAATTTAATTAAAAAAACCTTTAGAGCCTGCCTCTCGATTCGTGCAGTTTTGGGGCTTGGCAGAGCTACCGAGAATATCAAGCAAGGAAAAGGAAGGTTACTGGATTCTTTTCTCTTTGAAAGGAATAAGAAGAAAAGAGGCAGGGGGGGAAATACTTTTCATGTATGGGCAGATAAACCCCCTCACCAACTTTCTCAGTCTCAAGACAATCCAGTTATTTACTGACAGTTTTACTATTTCCCCCCTTCCTTTTTTAAAAGATCTCTCAAGCTCCTTTCAACTTGATCTCCATATCCTGAATATGATTAACACCCGTCATTTGCAGCCGACGTTCTGTCTAATAAATGTAACATTAGACAGAAAAAAAACATTTTGCTCCGTGGTGGCGTACCCGAGGAAATGTTTGTCGGCGGTTAGACTTCAGAGTTGGGCATGGAGGAGGAGGAGGGGTCGTGCTTTGTCCTCACTTCTACATGCCCCCCCCCAATATGGCAGTTTATTTTTCTCCTTGGGAGTAGATAACAATAGCTGGTTTTATATAGGATTTCTCCTATATAAAGGGTGCATCGCTATTGATAGGCACTAGACCCAAACTCTGATACTGGTGGCACAGCACTGCCTTGTGTTCTGTCTCTTGGTCACACTAGGATGTGACGGAACTGAGTTATGGAGAGAGAGGAGCCAATGGTGAATAGAGACTAGCTTTAGCACTGGATAGATAGGATTTTGGTGGATTCCTCACCCCCACCCTTTAAAAAAAAAAGCAGAGTCAAATATCCTGCTTCTGCAGCGATAACCAATGTTTACCACTTCCATGTGTGTGGCCGTCGCTGCAGCAGCCTCTCAGAACTTCCCAGACGCTGTAATAAAAATTGCTCTTGGATTGCAAAAGCCAGAACCGGGTTTTTGTTTTTGTTTTGTTTTGTTTTAAAGCTCTGGCCCTGCCGTCCAGTTGATGCAGAGTAAGGGCACGGAGAGGTCACCCTGCAGGGTCACATGGCCCACGACAACAACCGAAAAGCAGCTTCCCATTGGCTCCCTGCAAGAAACACTTTTAAGCAGAATGTCAGCACTGCTTTCTGTTAACCTTGACATCTGATCGATACATCTGTAATTGATTGTTACTGGCTGCCTCTGCATCGCTTGGGCATCCGGGCTGACTGCTGTGGTCCTGATGCTGGCTGAGAGCTTAGCATCTGCATGTGCCAGGACTGGCTACAAGTTTCTGGGGGCCCTTGGGCATGGGGTGCCAGGGGGGTCCTCACCCCCTGCTTAAACCACTCTCCTTCTGCACCCTTGGCCCTTCCCTTTTCCCTCTGTGCTTTTTTACGTTCTCAAATATTTCTACCCTTTCTCTAGATTAGCTAAAGCTATTCTAGGCTGCATCAGCAGAAGTATAGTGCCCAGACCAAGGGAAGCAATAGTTCCACTCTGTTCTGCCTTGGTCAGACCACACCTGGGGCACTGTGTCCAGTTCTGGGCGCCACAATTTAAGAAGGATGTTGACAAGCTGGAAGGTGGGCAGAGGAGGGTGGCCAAGAGGATCAAAAGTCAAGAAACCAAGCCTTATGAGGAGTGGTTGAAGGAGCTGGAGATGTTCAGCCTGGAAAAGAGGAGACTGAGAGGAGATATAAGAGCCATCTTCAAATATCTCAAGGGCTGTCACATGGAGGAGGGAGCATGCTTGTTTTCTCCTGCTCTGGAGGAGGGTAGGACTGGGACTGTCTGGGGTTAAGTAGTTTTATCAATCACTAGCCAACCTGCATATTCACCCATTTCTGAATCTGAATCACCTCTGCTGATCGAAATCCTGTGGCTGTTCCATGTTTCAATTTGTTGTACAGTACTGTTGTTTTAGGGACGCGGGTGGTGCTGTGGGTTAAACCACAGAGCCTGGGGCTTGCCGATCAGAAGGTCGGTGGTTCGAATCCCCACGATGGGGTGAGCTCCCGTTGCTCGGTCCCAGCTCCTGCCAACCTAGCAGTTCGAAAGCACCTCAAAGTGCAAGTAGATAAATAGGTACTGCTCCAGCGGGAAGGTAAACGGTGTGCGCTGCTGTGGTTCGCCAGAAGCAGCTTAGTCATGCTGGCCACATGACCCAGAAGCTGTATGCCGGCTCCCTCGGCCAATAAAGCGAGATGAGCGTCGCAACCCCAGAGTCGGTCACGACTGGACCTAATGGTCAGGGGTCCCTTTACCTTTACTGTTGTTTTAACCAGGGCAAGATTTGGGATAGAGAAGGCACTGTGGGGGGGGGGGGGAGAGGTTAAGCGAATGGGACAGAGCAAGGAAGAAGATGAAATAAGTTACATTCATGGTTAACTGGTTGGCAGAGGAAGAACTGGGCCTGTTGACAGCTATGCAGAAGAGGAAAGTTTGCACAGAACAGCTTCTCAGCCCACCTGGCAAACTCTTCCACTCCACTGCTTAATTCGCAAGGACCCTGCTGTCTTCGGTTGCACCTATTCACCTTGACTTAGTGCTTGTCCTAGTATCTGGGCGGTAGACAAGGCAGAAGCAAGGCACTGAGAATCAAGAAGCCATGTTGGGTGAAAGATTCCTGCTTTTCAGGGGTGTTGGACTAAATAACCCATGTGACCCCTTTCCAACTCTGCAATTCTATGACTCTATGATAAGGTTGGCGGTTCGAATCCCCGCAATGGGGTGAGCTCCCGTTGCTCGGTCCCTACTCCTGCCCACCTAGCAGTTCGAAAGCACGTCAAAGTGCAAGTAGATAAATAGGTACCGCTCCGGCGGGAAGGTAAACGGTGTTTCCGTGTGCTTCTCTGGTTCGCCAGAAGCGGCTTAGTCATGCTGGCCACATGACCCAGAAGCTGTACGCCGGCTCCCTCAGCCAGTAAAGCGAGATGAGCGTCGCAACCCCAGAGTCGTCCGCGACTGGGCTTAATGGTCCAGGGTCCCTTTACCTTTTATGATAAGGCTCCAGCCTCAGAGCTTTCCCCTTAGCAAGAGTAACTTGCATCTGGTGTGGAGACAATGCCTTAGTAAGTGCTGGCTAAGTGTTCGTCCTGGTCCCTGCCCGTTTTTAACTATGCACCTGCAACTTGTGCCTTTGATCCTTGGGCATACAAACAACTCGCCTCAAACCTGGAACCTTACTGCCTGGGAGCCTGATGCTTTGGAGGAAGTCCCTTTTCACACAGCGCAAAGTGAAACTATGAACTCCCTCCCCCAGGAAGCAGCA